TAAAATAAAATTATATTTTATTCACTTTAAAAAAAAACAAGAAATTGAGGAACAACTATGCATGTTTTGTTTCCTTGTACTAAGGAAAAAACCAATTATTTGCACAGAGAAAAGAAAGAAGCTTAAATTTCACCTTTCAATGATTAAAAGGACACAACACGGGTTTTGTCTCCAGGCAAAATTGTACCGTCCCCTTCCCCCCTTTTTCAGTACTGTTTTAAAAGATTCCATAAAACAATAAGGTAAACTATCTAAAATGCCATTAAATTTAAGATTTTATATCAATTTCATCACTGAATTTTAATTTAACAGTGAACTTTAATTTATATTTAGTTAAGACGTTTGCTTGTTAGAAATAAGCGATGTTGTGGACATCATTTCTTTTATTTTATTTTCTCTCTAAAATAAACAAGTCCTCTGATTACTTTCATTTATCATTATCACCATTAGACTATTCATCATTTCCTTCTCTTTCTTTATGTGATTACGCCATATTAAATTTTCAGTACTCAAATAAAGAAATTTCCACACATCAACGTTGTCGCCACCCAACCTTCAATAACAACGATATTAACGCCAAATGAAAATTCCTCCCTCTTTGGTCTATATCTACGATTGTATTTCTAAAAAAATTCTTCATCGGAGTCAAAATATTATATCAGTCCCTATTGATTGTTTGATCTTCATCGGAGTGAATCGTATTAGAAATGTTAGTGCGATTGAAGGTTGTGTTGCCTTTGATAATGGAGATTGACAATAATAATGTTGGGTTACGATATTAATGGACAATAATGATTGTATGATGCATGAGATGAACAAAGATGGTGAGGAAAAGTGTACAATGTTTTAGGTCTTTAATTTTCAGTTTGGTCTTTAATTTTATTTTATTTTTCCAAAACAAAGTAATTGATAATTCCCTAACCAAATGGCCACATGATTCGAAGACGTTTTAGTAATATTATTATTTTTAGAGAATAGGGCAATTCATAACGGATGTCTTTCACGGAAACTGCTCTTAACCAGGCGTTGGGGGCAATCTATTACTCTACCTCCCCCTTATCCCATTACATATGGGAATAGGGTAATATTATTTTTAAGAAATAGGATAATTCATAACGGAGGTCTTTCACGAAAACTGTTCTTAACCAGGTGTTGGGGACAATCTATTACTCTACCTCCCCTTATCCCATTACATATGGGAATAGAGTCAACTAATTTTTTTTATTATTTTTAGGGATTGATTTTGTAAATAATTTGATTTTAAATAAAGTACAATCTTTGGCGCTGAAGTATTCTTTTATGCATATAAGGTATTACAAAATACGACAAAACGAAAGCTACGGACTGTGTTAAAATATTTATTAATTTATTGTTTTTGTGAATGTTGGCTGATTAATTTACTTTTTAATTGATTAAGAGAAAGAGAATGTCAGTGCTAAATTTCATAAAAAAATGAATGTAAGCAGCCCCTAAGAGAGAGAAATTGAATAATCAATTTATTTATTTATTTGGTAAAAAAATCCTGAAATTCATTGCAAAATTAATTTAAAGGTATTTAAAATTTATAAATCGAATATAAACATAAAATGTCGAGTTGAGCTGTCCTGGATTCATTCAAAGGTTTGAATAAAAATTCTAAAATTGCAAAAGAAAAATTAATTTATTAAATTGAAACTTTATTTTCTTGCTTGGAAAAAAATATGCAGGGATTATTGGAATGAAGAATAAAAGTAAGAAGGACAAGACCAACCGACAAATGCACATGCAGATACAGAGATGAATGAACTGTCAAGATCCGTACATTAAAACATATACAGACACTGTAATAACAATTTCTGAAAATATAATTCAAACAATAAATAAATTCAGTGAGATGAGATGACGAGCAGCTTATCGCCATATTTATGTCAACAGCAATTCATGAATTGTATAATGTTTTTGTTTGGATCTTTGTATTTTTGTCCTCAATTTCAATATTCTCTTCATTTTAAACATCTTCATCAATATATTAATTAATTAAATAATTACTCACCCTTTTACTGGAGGGAATTTCAAATCATTTTCTCTTCTTTTATTTTAAAAAAGTAAAAACATCAAATCTGTGTCCTTCACACTCAAATCACTCAAGATTGACAGATCTTTTACCCCAACTTTTCTTTTGTTCTGCTAAAAATAATAAGGAAAAACAACAACACCAACAAAACTCAATTTCCATATGCAATGGGGTAAGGGGAAGTAGGGTAGTAGGCTGCCCCCAACATCAGGTTGAGAGTAGTTCCCGTGGAAGACCTCCGGCAATCAGAAAATTAAAAATATAGATAAAATGCAAAGCATGTATAAATAAATACATAAATACATAGTTGAACAATATTCATATGCAGTCAAAGGAAAAACACCTTTTCATATTTTATATAACCTATACTTTTAAGAACCGAAAAATATTTGAGGAAGGTTGATTTACGAAATATAATATTATTTATGAGGTAAAATATATAAATGATCCATCGGTTTTAAGGTGATATTTTATTAAGTTTTCTAATTATTAAAAATTATAAAATGATTTATCGGTTATAGGACGTTGTTTTGTTGAGTCATTTTACTATTAAAAGCTACAAAATATTAATCCGACTATTTATTTGTTCCGAACTTGTTATTTTCCATTAAAAAGATTAACAAAACATTTTGTAAATTTTAATAGTCGAGCGACTCAACAAATCACTATGTAATTTACTCTTTATTTTTTCATCCCCACCTCCATCACCAATTGTGCTCGATTTTGAAAAAAAGTAATTGTCTGAGTTGAGCCCATTTCAAGTAGTCAATGGGCCATATATGTTCATTAACATTCTTCAATTCAACTCTATTTGTGTCTAATAATCTTTAAAAAAAATCTCCGTTTTCATTACGTTTTGAAAACCACAATAGCATCAATGAAGGATGTGTGGATATTGTGGTGTACAAGTGAATCGCAGGTGACGGCTGAGTGCTCGTATCCGACGATTTTGGAGGCCCATCAATGAAGGATGTGCTGGTGAATTGCAGACAATGCCTCTATTCATCCTTGTCTTTCCATTCCTTCTTTTGAAAACCATAACACTCTTGACAAGATGTAAACCCAAATGGTTTTTGTCATAAATATATTTCGTTTTCTATATTTATGCTCTAATTGACATTGAAATGAATCCATGTGAACGTTCTACAATAATCATGGCCACCATCCATCATACCACATCCGTTCCTGTTAACCTCCTTGAAACAGATCAAAGAAAACGACATACGTCAAAGCTATCGAACAACCTTCACATAGTTTTCCAAGGACAAATGTCATCACAGAGAATTTAAATCTACTATTCTGCAGGCAGCAAGACATGGGAGAAAACCAAATCCAAAATTATATTTATTTGAAAAGAGAAACATCAAAATACCTGTATGATCATCTCCTTCAGCAGCTTCCAATGAGCACCTTTCAAATGATTTCCAGTCAGCTTCGGTTCTTCCATTGTATGCACTGAAATATGCAAAACATACTTTGTCAAAACACAACTAAAAAACAGCATTCTGTAATACTAAATTCGACCACATCAAACACAAATAATTGCATAATATGAATATGATTGAAGTCATAATAGAGAATTTTGATAAATCAAATAGGAAATATTACCACCATTAACCAAAATTTTCAGAGATGGATCATTGGGAGATTTCGCCATCCACATATAAAGATCTCGATGCTTCCTACACTTGCATAAACAAAAGTTGTGTATAAACAAATTAAGTGAGTCCATGAAATATGCATCAAATTTGCTACACTTCAGTCTTGCAATATATATATAAACCAAAGCTTAGATATTTACCTCAAAAAAAAAAACAAAGAGGAAGAACAACCTCTCAACTCAATAAGCTCATTCAAGGTATCACCTTTACTACTCTTTGATTCAACCTTGTTATCCTTCTTACAATGAGGCAAAACTGAAACAATGTTCAACATCAAATGCCTATAACTACATAAAACCAAAACCACCTGAAATAGTTACGACGTGAACATGTTAACATAACTTTCTCTTTGTTTCTAAAAACAGGGGAAGACTCGGTTTGTTCTTTAGAGCATTTTAATTTCATCTTCAACTCTCGGCACCCAAACTTTTAAACATTTTAAATTTATCCCTAAACTATAAACCTCATTCTGAATTAGTCCCCAAACTTTTGAATATTCCAATTCCATCCCCAAAATTTTGAAGTTTTTGGGAGACATTATTGGAGCATTTAAAGATTTAGGACGAATATAGAATGGGGATCATCGTATGGGATGAATTTTGAATGTCCAAAAGTTTAGGGATTAATTTAGAATGAGAGTCATACTTTGAGGATGCAATTGGAATGTTAAAATATTTAAGGACCAATATGAAATGGGGGTCATAATTTAGCGATGTAAGATGCAATTAACTCAAAATTATAAACATAAGTGTTTGAATCAATTAGTATATGAAGGAAAAGAATTTATCATTCTTGTGATGTTAACCGTCTTGACAGAATTATATCTACTTAATCCGTCCATTGGATAAGTGGTGATTTGAAGACACGAATATCTCCAAAATAAACTAGAAAATCTGTTGATTGAGGCAAAGTTTTAATCTTGATTACAAAAGCTATAATTGCTGCACAATCGGAGCAGCTCAAACATTTATTAGAATATCATATTATTAACCTATTTGTAAGCTCCATATAAAACCCTGCTACTTGCAAAGATAGAGAAATCGGAGAATCATTCCAATGCTTAAAAAACAGTCACAATTGCAAAATTCAGAAGTCAAATGTTGAAGCAAATTTGTTTGGTTTTCATTGTTCTCTTTGGTTGCTACATTGGGGATTATTCTGAGGAATTGAAGCAGATTAGTGATTTGCTTGAAGTGAATGCTACTGCAAATGAAGCTTTGAAACTTTATAGGAACTCTTTTTGCCCATTTTCATGTTGATAATAATGCTTAGGAGTAGTTTGAGGTTTGAAATGGGTGAGTAATTTTATTGTCAAACTGCAATTCACAAAGTCATCTACACTCATCAATGGAGTCGGACCCTTAAGCGATTAAACAAAGCTCTCCCGCAAAGAAAAGATTTAAAGTGGCAAAAGCACCCTTAAAGGCTGCTATATTTAGGCCAAGCCAACAAGTTTCTCGCTGAGCTCCCATATTTTGCTTGCTTTCTCTTGATCACTGGCTTCCTGAGACAACTGATTCTCAAATGAAGCCGAAGCCTTGTTCCAGCTCCAGTAGACGCCCGATTTCGTCAAGCTAGGATCACTCACAACCTGCATTGGAAGCAATGAAACTGTCTTACTTCACAAGACATAAAACAGTCTGCAATGCACCAAAGTCTTTGCTTATACCTGAGCAAGTCTTTTTCCGGCTTCGTCTTCGGAGACAAACCCCTTGGTGATGTACTTCTGGAATGGAGGGAAGAGGAGCCTGAACAACGGAATGTGCTCCCTGAACAAGCCGGTGGTAGCAATGCATCCGGGGTACAACGAAGCGAAAGTGATGCCGGTTTCCTCATGGAAGCGCCTATGGAATTCTTGCATAGTGAGCATATTGCAGACTTTGCTGTCCTTGTATGCTTTTGCACCATCAAAATCTCCACCATCAATCATGGTCGAGCTGTTCAGCCCATTTAGTCCTCCAGCAAGTCCCCTTATATCCCCAAGGTTCGCCTTTGGTGGTACATTTCCGGCCAAAGTATTCGTGTTGCCTGGTTCATTATACCAAAAAACAACTCAAAGTTAGTACATCAATATCACAATCCTTTCATAAAAAACCTCATTTTGAACGCATTGGTTGCAAATCACCTGTTATGGAACCAACAATGATGAGACGTTTCGATGGATAATCGGATTGCTTCAAGTCATCGAGCAATAACCGCGAAAGAAGGAAGTGACCAAGATGGTTAGTCCCCACACTAAGCTCAAATCCTTCAGCAGTGAACGAGGGTTCCTTGGCAGTTGGCTGATAAACAGCAGCATTGCAAACAAGCACATCAAGAGGCCGGCCGGATCTCTTGTAGCTATCGACGAATTGCCGAACACTGTCGAGGGAGGCGAGATCCAAGTGCATGATGGTGTAGTTTTCCTTGGACATTCCAGAAGATTTTGCAGCTCTCTCTGCCTTTAGAAAGTCCCTGCAGGCCATTATGACATGCCATTTCCCAGTTTCAGCCAAGGCCTTAGCAGTGGCTAAACCCAGTCCGGAAGAGGCACCAGTGATGATCACACTGCCCTTTCTAAGGGTTTTCTTTCCATCCATTGAAGATCTGGTGATTGCTGGAGTTGCAGTGGCTGTGATCTGGGCCCTAACAGCCCCAGTTCTTTGGTTGAATTCCCTCTACAATGAAAGTGAAAAATGGTTCAATCAAAGGCAAAAAAACAGCTATTTAAAGAACAAAAACAGCATAAACGCCATTGCAGTACCTTGCATCTTAATGCAGAAGAGGTAAAATCAGCCTTGATATGGTCAGAAAGGGAAACTCCAAAGAAAGATGAATCCTTGAAAGAAGCACCAGACTTTCCCTATTGAAATTCAAAACCCCATACTTAAACCATGGAATAAAGGAACCATTTTCATCAGTAAAAAATTGGAAACAAACCTCTTTGGGTACAGAGAAAGTAGATGGAAGCAAGGCAGCAGCTTGAAGAGCCATTTACAAACTTCAAATCTTTACTGAACCACGTTGAAATGGGTTTTTTGAAAGGAGTGTTGGTTGTGGCAAAAGAGCAAAGGAGTTTATATAGTGACAGGTAGGGGAAGATAAGAAAATTTAGGAGGGCAAACTTATCTGCCACATCAATTCAAAGTAGCCAATGGGGGTTTGAGATTTTGATTTCCTTAGTATATTTTAACAATATTTGTTTTGGTTTAGTAAGGGGATATTTTGGGATGGGGCTCCACTCCCTTTAGTTATGGGCTGGTTTAGCAGAGGATTGATTGAAAGGGATAAGGTGCAGTGGAATGCTGGCTTTGGCAGCCTATGCTCACGCGGACAAGGTGGTCAGATAATTACTATGACCTTTTTTTTATTTTGTGAATAAAAAATCTATTTTTCCGCTTATTTGAGAACTAAGGCCATTATAAACTTGGGTAAACTATACATTTAGTATTCTAATTGTCATTTTTATTCTATTTTAATTACTCAACTATTTTTTTTAAATCACACCTAACGATATGTATTGGTTTTACTTTTGATCGCCCACCGTTTTAAACAAACTACACGGCTTGGTTGTAGATTAAGACCTGTAGGGCCTGTAGGGCATAAACTTAGAAGAAAAGGGCCTTCAAAATCTAGGTCATTTGTTAAACATATAAAAACGGCCTACCGAAGATCATTGTAATTCATTGAAGAAAACACATAACTAGCATTGCATGATGAATTGGAACACAGACAACCAGTCTTCTGTTATTTGCAATTATACAAGAAACTTCAAAACTTTCGACAGAATTTTGAATTGGGGAAGAAAAGGAAATAAAAAAAATATGAATCAAATACGAAATACGATCTATCGCCTATATAGAACCCTTAAGAACATGACATTGAACTAAGAAAAAACTGACAGTGAAGTAACCAGATCGATAGCATAGAGTTCATGTAGTCACATATTACTGCAATGACTTGAAGTCCCGGTTTTTGTTTTCAGGCATTGCTTATTTGTAAGTTCCCATTCCGACACTGGCCTCTCGGCCGCTACCGTAAGGCTGGAAACTGTTTTCCCTAGCATTTGAGTAGCAAATGTAGTAGAACTTATTCACTATGGCAGTTAAGAAAACGAAGGCTGCCCCTGCACCAAACACTCCTTTCCTCACTGTTTCACAAGACGGAGGCAGATCGCTGAAAATGGTCCGATATTTGGTGTGGTAGGCGTTCCGGACCGATCCGGCCAGCAGACATATCTCGGCTATTAGGAAAAACAACCTGTCATACAGGCAATTCAAAGAATAAGTGAAACATGCAAATCTGCAAATTTGAGGATAATCGAGACTAAAACCATGATTTGAGTTAAGTTGGTGACACACCCGCAAACAATGAACAGGATGACTGCCCAGGCCCTAGAACCAGTAGGGTTCAAAGCCTTTCCACAACAGAAGCATTGGGTGGCCACCATTATAAGGGCTTGGCTAGCCATAAGGAACAGAAATGCACCCACGCCATAGCCAGTGGCTATGTCTGAGTCATATACACAATAGTTGTAATTAATTTCACTGTCCTGAACAATCTTGGCCTGCAACAAAAGATGTCTACCATAATGATATAAACTTCAAAAGCAGCAACTTCATGTCTAAAACTAAAAACTGGATGAACTAATGTCAACCAAAAACAAAATGCATCAAAGAAAGTGAAGGGGAAAGGGGAACTCACAGTGCTTCTTCTTTGCTCAGCTGCAACAGCTAAACTAAAAGCAATAAGATCAAGAACGAATACAGCAATCAAAAGAAGCTTAGAAGCCATGGATGAATACAATGGAAGCTTCTTTTGTTTCTCTTTGCTTTGCTTTTTCTCTCTGAACTCTCCCAGTCTAAATAAACAAAAAATCACTAGCAGTACAGAACAAGCAAGGCAAATTGATTAAAAACGAAGAAAAATAGTTTTTTTCCCTGTTGAAGGGGATGCTTAATGGGAAAGTGAAGGTTGTTGGAAGGGAACTTTAAGGTGGCTTCGTGAAAGGGAATATTTACCCGCCAACCATAGATTAACTGCCTTTTGGAAGCCTTGTGCGTACAACATTTCGTAGCATGACGTGCCAACATCTACAGCTTGTTTTGCACTCTTTGTTTTTTCTTTTACATCATTTTAATAGAAATATAAGTAAATTAATTTAAAGATAAAATTATAATTTAACCATTTATGAAACCTGTATATAAATGTCTGCACTCCTTGTTTTGTTTTGTTTGTTACATTATGCTAGCTTCTTACATTATGCACTGTGCATTCCAGTGTCCCCCCCCCCAATAATCTTCTTCCCATTTGCACAGTTAGCAAAACAAGTATTCGGTGCTTCCAAAGTTGCAGCTACTTTTAGTACCGGATAACCGGAGTTGCTGAAAATCTTAGGTGTCGACTTGGCTATGGATTACACAAAGAGAGAGAAATTGAGAGAGTTTTGTTGTTGTTGTTGAATAGGGTGAAAAAAATGAGTTTTAATAAGTTAATGGCTCAATTTAGAAATAAACTCTTTTTATCACTATGTTGCATCATAAGTTAATGAGAATTAATATTCAACCCATCAAAATATAACAAATCGATAATATAAATGATCATATCGTATCATAAGTTTTTTTTTTTAAAAAATTGATTATCAAAAAGTGAATAAAAATGAAACAAAAATAATAAAACTTGTAATTGACCCAAAATATTTTATTGTTAGATTTTTTAATTAGAAATTAATAAAATTATAAAGAGAAGAGAATGAATGTGATTGTCGAACCATGCACATGATGCGTACCAAAATATTTTAAATAATTTGGAATGATTACAAGACAATATGTGTTTATAATATTACTTAATTATTGATAACGTATATAAATATGTAATTTTTCAAACCAAGACCTAAAAAAACAACATTTCCTTTAACTATCGAAACTATTCAACAAATTCTTGATGCATATCATTTTAACTTGAAATAACTTGTAAATTTGACGATGAATTTATATATGGATACCTTATAAGTTCACGTCATACGAACATGAGCTGCAATGGAAGGTTGAAAATGGTGAAATATACTTACAAATTAGGATCAAAATCTTAGGTTCATCACATTTTCTAAGATTTTATTCTGGCTAGGTCTATGACTTCCTCCAATTTTCTGGTGGTCTTGATAACTAATTACGGACATATGATTTTATGTTAAGGGTGAATTTATAAAATTTTAAAGAAAGGATAATTCAGAAAATTTTAGGAGGCAAAAATAGTTTTTTAAATAAAAATAGAAATTATCCAAAAAATGTAAGAATTTAAGATTTTTAAGAAATGATTGTCCCCACCTGATCTCTTCAATCTAAAGTATTTGCTAGATTTCTCTATCCTCTAGTTGTATTATCTTTATGATAGTGATAATTAAATATTATCATTCTAGTAGTTGAAATATTAATTATTTTATTAGCAACATACCATTCTACATTAATTTCATTTTGCTATATAAACTAGTAAGTTAATTAAAACAGTTTTACATAATTTTCGGAAATTCTGACTAAAAAAGAACCTAATTTCAATTTTACCCGTCTCTAACACTTACAAATATGTTTGAAATTTAAGGAATTAGTGGAAGTTTAATTAAAGCAGAATTATTTTTCAGTTAAACAGCTAAAACAAATCAAACACTAACCCTTCTTCTCAATATATATGTATATATACGCTTCTTGACAAAAATTTAAGCTTTTGTTGCTGTGTTAATTGGATTGGTAACAATGGAGGCAGTGTTGGACATTGAAGGTGAAACCCAGGCTGAAGATGAGTTCAAAGGCAAACCCTTTTTAAAGATTACAAATCAACCTGTTGTTTTGAAGGTATGCATGTTTGTTTTACCATTTTTATTGAACCAATAGGGGAAAAAACCATTAAATTTGATGTTAACTAGGCTTTGTTTGATTATTTTACAGTTCATAGATGTGGTCTATACAATCAAGGTACAAAAAGCAGGTAAGGTGTTCGGAAAAAGTTTGGTTTCTGGAGATAATGATAGAGTGATCTTAAATGGGATCAGTGGGATGGTTCGACCCGGGGAAATGTTAGCCATGCTTGGTCCCTCGGGCAGTGGCAAAACGACACTATTGACGGCATTGGGAGGCCGCCTAGGAGGGCACCTCAAAGGGTCCATAACATACAACGGGAAGCCTTTCAGCAATTCGATGAAGCGAAAAACCGGATTCGTAACTCAAGATGATGTTCTTTACCCTCATTTAACGGTGATCGAGACGCTTGTCTTCACCGCTCTTCTCCGATTACCTAATAGTTTCACCAAACAAGACAAGATCATGCATGCTGAAGCAGTGATCGATCAACTCGGACTAGTTAAGTGCAAAAATTGCATCGTTGGTAATGCGTTTCTGAGAGGTGTTTCGGGTGGGGAAAGAAAAAGGGTTAGCATTGGTCAAGAAATGCTAATAAACCCGAGCTTGTTGTTCTTGGACGAGCCAACTTCGGGTCTCGACTCAAGCACGGCTCAACGGATTGTGTCGACACTGTTGGACCTTGCTAAAGGTGGAAGAACGATTGTGTTAACGATACACCAACCTTCGAGTAGGCTATTTTATATGTTTCATAAGATTTTGCTGCTATGTGAAGGCAAGTCTTTGTATTTTGGACAAGGATCGGCTGCTATGGATTATTTTTCCAGCATTGGATATGCCCCATCAGTTGCCATGAATCCTTCAGATTTCCTTCTGGATCTTGCAAATGGTATGTTTTAATCTTAATTCTGCATTGATATTTTTCAACAACTATTTAATGTTTGCACGAATCTATGCTTAATTCCCTTATATTGCACAGAAATCAAACTGAATTTAGTACAAGTATGACCTTAATAAATCGGCTTGGGAAAATATAGTTTCCTAATTCCAATTCAGGTTTAATGCATGGGAAATCTTAGACGTGCCTTGGAAATCTTAATTGTTCACTATAGTTTCTTTCAAGACTTCGATAGTTTTTGGAAATATTTCAAAATGTGTATATATATGTATATCTCACATTTAGCATAAATATGATATAAATAGATGAATTCCCTGGTCTAAATTTATATTTCTGCAGAGAACTAAACTAGTATTAACTCTAATTTGAATCTTTTCCAGTGCCACTTAATGTTCATTTATTATATAGGCGGATTCAATAAATTGTTTTCACATTGCAAGTTTAACTTATCAATTTCAAATTAATTTTGTTTCTTCAAGTTTCTTTGCATGGTTTCAACTATGTCTGCCTTTCATACTCTAATGCTTTGTTCTATATATCCATCCTATGTTACTCGGATTCGGGTGAGTGTCAGACACGATTTTGTGAAGTTTTTCCATGTCTTTGGAGAATAGTTGGAGATTATTGCTGAACACATTTAGTAACTCTTGTTTTATGATTTTCAAATGCCACTTAATGTTCGAAGTATGAAATTATGAAGTTGATGGTGCATAGGAAAAGAATCCCAATGTTGATGTGCTTTCAATGTAGGTGACTCACCAACTGAGTCAACAAAGGAGCCAACCCTGGTGAAGAAAACACTGATTGATGCCTATGAGATGAACATTGCTGGGAAACTAAAGGAAGAGCTTCAAGATGTCAGTAATGAGCCAGCTGATGAATTGGAAAACAAGACTCGTGCGAAGTGGCCCACAACTTGGTGGCAACAGTTCATCGTATTGCTTCAAAGGGGAGTAAAAGAAAGGAAGCATGAATCATTCTCCGGTTTGAACATTGCTGAGGTCATTATTGTATCTGTTCTTGCAGGTTTATTATGGTGGAAATCTAATATTTCTCACTTGCAGGACCAGGTAAGTTAATGTCTCAAAATTCACCTTTTGATCCATTCAAATTAGACCGTCCATTACTTCTGAGTGTTAACTTGTAAACATGCATGCAGATTGGACTCCTCTTCTTTATTGCAGGGTTTTGGGGCTTTTTCCCTCTATTTCAAGCTCTTTTCACCTTCCCTCAAGAACGTATGATGCTCCAAAAAGAGCGGTCTTCGGGCATGTATCGGCTTTCTTCATACTTCATATCGAGAATCGTTGCAGATCTTCCCATGGAGCTTATACTTCCCACTGTTTTCATCACCATTACATATTGGATGGCAGGGCTTAAACCCACAGCATTCAATTTCATGCACACTTTATTTGTACTTCTTTTCAGTGTCCTAGTCTCTCAAGGCCTAGGGCTAGCCCTTGGTGCCATGGTTATGGACTTAAAATCAGCTACCATTCTCGGCTCGGTCATCATGCTCACTTTCTTCCTTGCCGGCGGTTTCTATGTCCAACATGTTCCGCCATTCATAGCATGGATCAAATACATTTCCATTAGCCAACATACTTACAAACTCTTGATGGGGGCTCAATACACTCTAGATGAAGCTTACCAGTGTGGTGAGCCTCCAAAAAAATGCTACGTCGGAGATTATCCGGCTATAAAATCCGTTGGCCTCGATGGGCAAGTTTTGTCTGCTGTTGCATTGGCTATTATGCTTGTAATGTACCGATTGGTTGCTTATTTGGCCCTCATGAGAATTGGGGTCACCAAAAAGTTAGAGCATTAGATGAGCCATCTTCTATAGTTACTTGCATACATCGGCTATTATGCTGTGGTTTTTCTTAAGCTTGATATACAAAGGACCGTCCTATGCAAGGGCATGATTTTTTTAGTAGGATCTCCATGGTGTAATCAGATCGAACAAACTCGAGAAGTATAAGAAGTTTAAGCAAGAATTGGGATTATAAATAGTGTGGTGAGCCTCCAAAAAACTTTAGCTTGATGGAGTTTTGTTTTTACTATTTGTGTTCGATAGTATTTTGCTTAACCCGTTCATGTTCAATTTGACACAAACTATTTATTAGAGTTGGATTTGACATCAAAATTTAATTATTTTTCATTTCTACACTAAACTATAATGGCGTGTTCAGTAGGGTAGATGAAAAATAGAAAGAAAAATATAATAGTTTTTAAGTTGTACTTGATTGCAGTGGCAGATGCATTAAGCCCTATAGGAGCAAAGTGCATCCTTATTTTGGAAAAGTGGTTAAATTTAACTTAATTTATTCAGAAAAAAATTACAATTTTTCATACCCATTATTTTTAAGAAAAAAAATTAAAATTTTGGATCTCTATTCTTAAAATTTTGTATCTCTATTCTTAAATTTCTGGATCCGTCACTGTTTGATTTGTGAAAAAATTGGAAGAATTTAAACAGTTAGTAAAAAATTAAAAGAAAATATGAGAAGAGGAGAGGATACGAGAGGTATAAGTTCAAAATTATATATTTTCCGAAAGCGTTATTTTTTACTTTTCAAAGTTCAACTCTATCATTATAACAATGGAACATAAGATACCACTACTTAAAAACTAGTTTTCTGCTCTTTTATTCATGGTTTTCAAAATCGGACCGGTTAGCGAACCGGTCATGCTACCGGTTCACTAGTTCAACTGGTCAGAATAACCGGACGATGTCATAATTATTTAAAAAATTAAATAAAAATACTAAAAATATTTAATAAAAAATAATTTTTTATATCACAAGTAATATTTAAAGCAAGTCATAACATATATAAGTTACAAACCATAAAATCAAGTGAAACAAAATGATTCAAATTAACTACAACATAATATTTAAGGTAAAACATATTAAATAATAAATATAATTATATAACTATAATTAAAAAATAAATTTGGGGCTAAAAAAATCATAACAAAATGATATTGTTTGGTTTAATTTTTTAAAAAAAACAATCTCACATGGCTAAGAAACATAGAAGAGTATCCCAAAAGTCTAAAGAGTAAAAATATGAGAACAAAACAATACCACGTGGCTAAGAAACATAGAAGAGCATCACAACTAACTTCTATAAATAATAGAGGTAATTTGGCATTCAAAATCATGGAGCCTTTTGGTGAGCATTGAGTGAACTATTCTTTCACTTCAATCAAGCTCGAATTTTAGGCTTCAATCGAGCTTCTAATTTTTTTTGAGTTCAAGCCTTTTCGAGTTCAAGTTTCAATATTATATTTTGAGTTCGAGTTGAACTTGATAATTTTTAGCTCGTGAGTTTGAGTCGAGTTGAGCTTACTTTTAAAGTTTTCAAGTTCGAGTCGAGCTCAGCAATACTCGAGTTCGACTTGGCTTGTTTAACAAACGGCGTCGTTTGGTTTAATTTAAAAAAAAAAAAAAAATTGGCGGGTTTTTCCAGTTTTCAGCCGGTCCGGTTCGAACGTGTAACATACCGAAATCCTAGTCAGTGACTTAAATGAGAATTTTTGAAATTTGGTGATAAAAGTAAAATAGTTTAATAGTTTAATGACTTATTGGAAATATAGTTGAAGGTTGTTTGGTAATTACTGAATGAATTAAAGGGCAAATTGGTCATTTGATAAGAAAGATATTTTTCCCCTTTTATAAGAATGAAACACGTGGGGGAAAAGAAAGAGTTATCTGGGAAACTCTCTTCTTCTTCTTCTTCCTCCCGTATCTCCAAGCTCAAAGGTAAGTTTGTGATTTCTTGATTATTGGTTGATTTAAAGGTTGTGTTATGATCACTAGATGATAATTAAGCTTAAGGAAAGTTTAATTTGTTCTTAAACAACAAGATGAAAGATATATGAGAGATTAAAGATTTTGAGTTCTTGAATGAAATCTTGGAATAGAGTTCATTACTCATATTGGAAGACAAATTTGACTTGTCATCCACTTAATTAAGGGATATGAAGTGATGGAATTGAATTTAGAACAAGTAGAAAATTTAGTATGATTCTTGGATTTCATATGGAAGATAGAATTTTGAGTTTAAAGAAGTGATTATGGAGTAGAAGTGAGTTTAAGTATGTATATGAAAGTTAGGAATATTAAAGGAGGTGAAAGATGAAGAATTAAGCAGAAAGAGAGTGAAATTGTGCTTAAAATGTAAATTCTGGGTTGTGTGCATCGATGCATCTTCAATGTGCATTGATGCACTCTCAAATAAATGAACATCGAATGCAATCAGTGCATCGATGCACCTTCTTAAAATACAAACATCGAATAGGATTTATGCACCGATGCATGAATAGTGCATCGATGCACCTGTCAAGGGATGTATCGATGCATGGTGTAGTGCATCGATGTATGCCTTCATTAAAAGATAAAAATAGCTTTCTTATTAGCCTTAGGAATGATAGTTTAGAATATATCAATTAGTATATTGATATGTATCAATGTATTAATATGTAGATTTAGTCTCGTTCCGGAACAATTGAAGGATTAGAATCGAGTCAAGCAAGGCTAAGGTGAATACATATTAGAAGTATGGTACAATGGAATAAGACTTGTGATAAGTCTAATTCATATGTTGATTTTCATAGCACAATAGTTATGAACATGCATACATGATAATTATTATGATACATGCATAAAGTATATATGTTCATATGATTTGATAAATGATATATGTGAAAAGACCCAAATGCACATGTGATATGATAAGTGATATGAGCTATGTGATCACAAGAGAAATGACATGAACACATGAAACATAAGAATAATGCCCATGGTATACGATATGAGAGCTATAGGTATAGTTGGCATGCCAAGAGTCGAGGGTTCTACGTGGTCCTTCGGGACGTATATGTATCATTTGGAACATTTACAGTGTCTTTTGAGACAGATCTGATCCACAGGGAATATGTATATGGTTCTTAAGGAGTGGTCCTTCGGGACAAATACAGTAGTAGGTCCTTAGGGACAAATTTCATAGCCCTTAGTGGGACCCATACGAGCTGTGGTGACAGTATAGTGCACAACCTCAATGTACTCGAATACCTTGAGTTCTAAAAAATGTACATGGGCCTATAAAAGGTTATCAAAGGTAATTACATTGTTATAGTTATATGTTATCATATTATCATTGTTTACATTGAATTGTATACGACAGGATTGAATGGATAGATTGCATGTTCATATTCATACTGAATGCATTATTGTTAGATTTATATGTCTCACTAAGTCTATGAATTAGCGTGTAAGTGATTTACACGTAGGTACCAAGAATCAGGAAGAGTGGAAATAGGGTTGCAAGAACAGTAGCACTGCTTGAAGATCAGATCAGAAGTAACGGATAAAGTATGTCTTTTGTCGTGTATATGGTTGGCATGTAAGAAAAGTGTCTGTTACAAATGTTCTGATCAGTTTGTCTTGTTCTGGTTAACTTGTGTAAAGTAACAATGTTATTTTAATGAAAGTTTTAAATTTCCTTGATTTTTCGTCAATAGTCAAAGTTTGAAAAGTCAATGTGACACCTCGGACTCGTATCCGGGTCGGGTACGGGTTGAGGGTGTTACAGAACGTTTCAGTGGTTTCGGTTTGGTTCACTAGTAGCGGTTCAACCGGTGTAGATTGTACCGGACTAGGCAGCGGTTCCCGGTTAAACCGGTTGAACCGGCCGGTCCGATCCGGTTTTCAAAACACTGCTTTTATTCCCTTGCGCCTCTAGCTTCTTTCTTCTTTTATCTTTGTGACGACATTAGCCATAGTGTTGATTTCCAATTATTTTCATCTATTTTATTTTTAGTTTTTGCTTATTTTTACTAGTTTTGTTTTATGTCACGTTCTTTTTTATATTTTTAATGACACAGTTTCAATTTTTTATCGGTTATTTGGTTGTTATCTCTGTTTAATTTTCTCATGGTTAGATTTAAAGTCTCATGATTACCAGCATAAGACTCATATGCTTCTTATCTGGCAGGTGGTGCTCCTCCTCCAAAAACACCTCTACCTCTGTATGGATCGCAGACATCGATGTCAATGTTTTTACAATTTTCACAATTTTCTTTGGGTGGCAGGATAGTTCCTGATACTTCTCCAGGGTCATTATTTTATAGAGGGTCTTCATCGTCATTCATGCCAAATCAAGAAAATGTCAATGATGATGATGATAGTGAAGATGAGAAGAGTGAAAAGGATGTTATACGAAGAAAATCTCAGTGAAATAGACAATCATCGCCCTGTGGAATTTATTTGAGAAGACGACATCGTTGATTCATTGGAACATTAATATTTGTATTTAATATTTTTATATAATGTTTTTAATATTTGTTTATGTTTGTTAAATGTTTAATTTTTTTAATTTATTTTTAGTTTGTCTTTATAGTTGTTAAATGTTTGTTAAATGTTTAATGTTTTCATTCAATAAATAATTGTATTTGTGTTTGTTAAGTGTTTGTTAAATGTTAATTACATGACATTACAGTACATTACCTTACATTAGAAGCATTATTAGAAACATTAGAATACATTATCTTACATTAGAGTACATTACCTTACACAACATTACTACAAGCATTACATTACATCACAATACAAGCATTAGCTCTTCAGCAACACAACATTACTTTATTCTTCATAGTCAGTTGACTCGTCAGATGTTAAGTTTTTTAAACCTCCATTCTTTCTCTTGTTTCCTTCTATATGTAAAAAGTTCAAGTTCTTGCAGTTCAACTTCTATATTTTGGAATGCATCTCTCGATTTGAAGTTAGTTTAAGTAGAAGGAGTTGCAATTGTCTTGGAAATACATGCTTCACGTATCCAACCTTGAACCTTTAAAATCACGTTCATGCAATATCTTTGAAATGAAAAAAATATGTTAATCACATAAGATATATGAAAGAAATAGTACAAGTTAGGTTTAAGCAAGGATCTTATAAATGA